ATCAATAGTGTGAAAATGGCCATACTGCCCAAAGTAATTTATAGATTCAACTCTATCCCCATTAAGCTACCAATGACCTTCTTCACAGAACTGGAAAAAATCACCTTAAACTTCATATGGCATCAAAAGAGAGCCCACATAGCCAAGACAATCCTAAGCAAAAAGAACAAAGCTGGAGGCATCATGCTACCTGACTTCAAACTACATTACAAGGCTACAGTAATCAAAATAGCATGGTACTGGTACCAAAATAGAGATATAGACCAATGGAACAGAACAGAGGCCTCAGAGGCAATGCCACACATCTACAACCATTTGATCTTTGACAAACATGACAAAAACAAGCGATGGGGAAAGGATTTCTTGTTTAATAAATGGTGTTGGGATAACTGGCTAGCCATGTGCAGAAAACAGAAACTGGACCCCTTCCTTACACCTTACACTAAAATTAACTCCAGATGGATTAAAGACTTAAACATAAGACCTAACAGCATAAAATTCCTGAAGAAAATGTAGGCAAGACCATTCAAGACATAGGCATAGGCAAGGACTTTATAACTAAAACACCAAAAGCATTGGCGACAAAAGCCAAAGTAGACAAATGGGATCTAATTAAACTCCAGAGTTTCTGTACAGCAAAGGAAACAATCATTAGAGTGAACTGGCAACAAACAGAATGGGGGAAAAAAATGTCTGCAATCTACCCATCTGACAAAGGGCTAATATCCAGAATCTACAAAGATCTAATATTCAGAATCTACAAAGAACTAAAACAGATTTACAAGAAACAAACAAACCCATTCAAAAGTGGGCAAAGGATATGAACAGACACTTTACAAAAGAAGACATATGTGAGGCCAACAAACGTATGAAAATATGCTAATCATCACTGATAATTAGAGAAATGCAAATCAAAACCGCATTGAGATACCACTGCATGCCAGTTAGAATGGCGATCATTTAAAAATCAGGAGACAACAGATGCTGGAGAGGATGTAGAGAAATAGGAACACTTTTATACTGTTGGTGGGAGTGTAAATTAGATTAACCATTGTGGAAGACAGTGTGGCAATTCCTCAAGGACCTAGAAATAGAAATTCCATTTGACTCAGTAATCCCAATACTGGGTATATATCCAAAGGATTATAGCTCATTCTATTATAAAGACACATGCACACATAGGTTCGTTGCAGTACTGTTTACAATCGCAAAGACATGGAACCAACCCAAATGACCATTGCTGATAGACTGGACAATGAAAATGTGGCACATATATACCATGGAATATTATGCAGCCATAAAAATTGATGAGTTCATGTCCTTTATAGGGACATGGATGAATCTGAAAACCATCATTCTCAGCAAACTGACACAGGAACAGAAAATCAAACACCACGTGTTCTCACTCACAGGCGGGTGTTGAACAATGAGAACATATGGACACAGAGGAGAGCTTCACATACTGGGGTCTTTTGCAGGGAATAGGGGAGGGACAGTGGGGGGTAGGGAGGTTCGGGAGGGATAACATGGGGAGAAATGCCAGATATAGGTGACAGGGGGATGGAGGCAGCAAACCACCTTGCCACGTATGTACCTATGCAACAATTCTGTATGATCTGTACATGTACCCCAGAACGTAAAGTTCAATAAAAATATATATAAAAGAAAAGAAACATGAATATTAAAAATAAAGAAAGTTTGCCCTTTTCTGGGCCCTTATCAATATTTTCATCATATCAAAGGGAGAAATCACATTGGAGCTGTGAGGCAAATACCATTTTGAATTGGAAGTCACTTTGACTATGCATTTTTTTTTTTAAGGCAGAGTCTCCCTCTGTTGCCCAGGCTGGAGTCCACTGGCATAATCTTTGCTCACTGCAACCTCTGCCTCCTGGGTTCAAGTAATTCTCCTGCCTCAGCCTCCTGAGTAGCTGGGACTACAGGTGCGTGCCACCACACCCAGCTAATTTTTTTTGTATTTTTAGTAGAGACGGTGTTCCACCATGTTAACCAGGATGTCTCAACCTCCTGACCTCATGATCTGCCTGCCTTGGCCTCCCTAAATGCTGGGATAATAGGCGTGAGCCACTGCACCCAGCCCTACTTTGCATTGTTAATCATATTAACAACAGTGTATTGGAGTAACTTAGAAAATTTTTACAATTTGGCCCAGTCAATAGACTTATTTACTGAATAATTTTCAAAAATCAAGTTAAAATGTATGGCATTTTCTCTGCTATCTCTGACCATTGCTTCTTGAACCAAGCCATACCAAGCCAACCAAACGACACCAAAAAGACCAGGTTTGTATATTGAATTTTGAATGTTTTGAATCTAAAGAAAAACGTATTCACTTTTAGTTGGAGTACCATGTTCATGGGTACTTGATTTGAATGCCGTTAGTTTGAGTGTGTGCTGTCATGCATACTTACTTACTTGGTTGACAGAGCACAAGATATCAAATGTGGAGTAGACTGTTTAGGGTTGCATGACTCAGGACATGGGCATGACTTCTTGTCTTTGGGTCTTGATGAGCAAACACTTCATCTCAAGACAGTGTCCTCTAGCACATAAATATGTTAATGATGCATAAATATTAAAAATAAATATGGAAGTATACTGTGAAACTGTTCACTTCAATAAACCATAAAATAATGAATGGCATTTAGGGAGACCAAGGCAGGCAGATCATGAGGTCAGTAGAACACCGTCTCTACTAAAATAACAACACCCAGTCCTCATTAAAAGGCAAATTATTGTTGTGCCTTGCTTAACAATGGGGAAACACTCTGAGAAATGCATCCTTAGGTGATTTTGTCATGTGGACATTACAGAGTGTACTTACACCAACTTAGATGCTGTAGCCTACTACATACCTGTGGTATATAGTATAGCTTATTTCTCCCAGGCTACAAATCTGTACAACATCTTATTGTACTAAATACTGTAGGCAATTGTAACACAATGGTGTTTGTGTATCTAAACACATTTAAACATAGAAAAGGTACAGTAAAAAATATGGTATTATAATCTATGGAACCCAAATGCTACTATGTGGCACATCACTGTAATATGATGCCCCCCTCATTTTTTGTTAACCCTAAAGTGGAAACCATTTACTTTTAGTCAGTTTTTGTTGCTGTTTAACATTTTTCCTCCAGCTTGGGTGCAACTATCAAACTTACTTCTGGATGACCTATAAAGAATGAATAGTAATTGGATAATACAGTTACTCCATAAATTGAGAAACATGTCTTAGCTGGGCAAATATTGCTGACTCAGCCTCCCTCCTGCTATCTAATCCTTTTTACTTGCAGTAAAAAAAAGTCCTGATTTTCATGCCTCAAACAGACTTCTTGAAACAGATTTGAAAACAAGAACCTATTGCCAGCGAGAGCAGGACTCCCCAGTCGAGTCCCTGCCATCTCAGCTCACCTGGAATGCTGGTCGGGCAGTGACAATGACTGACAGGGCCAAGCTCACCTTGGTGTGTGGGCTGAGGGCTCCAGGCCGTTGAAACATCTCTGGAAATGTGCCCAATGGAAACACAGAGCAGCGTGGGTAGGCTTTCATGCCAAAGATTTTCGGGAATGGATCCAAAAACATCTTCTGTAACAGGAAATGAAAGAGGAAATAACTTGTTATTCCCAAGGGGTGAGAGGTTTGGGGTGAGAGTTTAAAGAAGGGCTGAAAAGAGAGGAAAAGAACTGAGCTGCGAAGGTGAGGCAATGCTGAAGAGGGGAAGTCAGTAGTCGGAGCTGGAAATGTTAATGAGTTCACAAAGATAAGGAGGAAGTAGGGACTGTCTGGAAGGTAAACACACCATCATGGAAAGGGCAGCTTTACCAAGAATAACAATATCAAGATAATTAAAGGAAAAGGCTAATGTAAATGTGAGGAAAAGGAGAAAACGCTGAACAGGTCTTAAATACCAGAACATTCCAGCTCAGCATTTTGTAATTGACAACATAAACAGGAAAAGGAAAGGAAGGCCTTCTGCAGCGACACACACACAGACATTCCATCCTATGATATTTGTGTTATCTGTTGACTCAGGACACATTGAGTGGGATGATAATCATAACTTTTATTGTTTATTTCTCTGGGTCTGGTATGATCTGTATATTTGTCAGAAGGCCATGATACTATGATATTTAATTAATTTCCTGAATCGTGTTATTTTGTAATACAATTTTGTAGTGTAAGCTGTAGAACCAAATCATGCATCTTTATTATATACAAGATTTTCTTGAGCTTGTTCATGCTAACTAATGGAGTACTTGCAAAACAATTTTAAAAAGTTGGTAAAACTAATTAAGTAGTATACTGACCATACACGACATCACAGTGCATGACACTCACCTACTCTGTCTGGAAGCAGTTCACATCAAACTCTAATTTGTGTTCTCTTTCTGTTCTTGAGCATTCCACAATCTTCTTTCTAGAATAAAATTGTTTGGAAGACTGCAGTCTTTTCCAGGGAGAAGGGAATTATAAAGTCCACAGGAAAATAAAAATAACATGTCCTTTTTAGTACAGAGATCCAAATTAGACTTCTAATTCAGTCAGAAATAAAAAGCAATGTTGGGATCTCTTCCCTAAATTATTACCAAAAAGAATGTTTATATATAACCTCCTTTATTGTAAAAGAGTACAAAAAAGACCAGTAAATATATTTTCCTATGTGATGAAATTCACCAATCTAATTTTTCTTTAATGCTTCTCTTTAAAAAAAATTATCCTGAAGGTTATTTTGTGTGTATCTAAATTTATAATACTAGGTATATACCACTCCAAAAATGTTCATCAATACTTAAAACCCTAGGAACAGTATCTGACTAACCAAACTCACTATTGCTTGATTTCCTCTCTTTGGTTAACTTTATGGTAAGTTTAATCTCATTCAACCCTTTGAAAATATTTTCATAAGTTGTTTCTTTACTAGTACATAGCATTGCTTACATAGCAGTTCATAAAATCATAAAAACTTGACATTGTTTTATACTGTGTAAAGTTTATTAACATTTCAATGAAACACTCTTATTTACACAGTTAAGTCTGGGGTGCTCAGGACAGTAAGATGGCATGGAATCCACTGCTGTGAATTTGGAAATGCGCAGCGGTCCTTGGCATCCTGGCACAGAGGCAACCCTCACCACTGGGCAAGGGGAGCCAGAGTTTATATAGTTTGACTGGCTTGCTTTGCTGTCTTCATTCTTCTTCACTTTCATTTTCAGGATCTAAGTCAGAATCTCCATTTAATTCTTTTTCACTTGCTCTATCTCTGTCCTCACCATTTTCTTCATCTTTTCCTTCAGCATCCTCATCTTCCTCTTCAGCATCATCCTCATCTTTTTCACTTTCACTCTCCTCCTCATCTTCATCCCAATTATCATCAGAATCCTTATCTGCTATTTCATCATCAGACTCCTCTTCAGAAGATTCTTCTTCATACACCAACTTTGCCTTCTGTTCAGGGGAAGTTGTTTCCTTTGTTTTCTCTGATGCTGTTACTTGTGTAATTAGAAGAATAAGCTTTCCATGAAGATTCTGAAAAGTTTTGACTCTGCTTTCCATTAACTGTTAGAGTGTCCCCAGCTGGGGTACCAGGTCAGGCAATGTGGACAGGTATGCTGCATGAACTGTTAAGACACATTTTAGCCACTGAACCATTAGCACAGCACTATTAGGATGTCCTTGTAGCCTCTTTGTAAGCTCTTGCAACAATGGAATAACAGTGTGCAGGGGCATCCTTAATACAGTCTTTTTTATAAGGTTTAAATTCCTAGTTTGAAGTACTTCTTTTAGCATTTCAAAATCGTTACTTTCTAAGTCCTGGTTAAGAAGAACTGGAAAGCTATTCATCTGTAGGTCATCCTTTCCTTTTCTGTGTATGTCTATATCAGTTGCTCCCAGGCGTTCTTCAATGCTAACCATAAAGCCAATGTTGGAGACAGGTGAGACATCTGCAATCCAAGCTTCTAGATTCCAGTGAAAAAAACAACTGCCCAAGAAGCACATAGTTTGAAAATGTTAATGCATAAAAAGCCTTGTATATGAAGATTCAGAAAAGGCAAGGACCTGCCATCTGATTCTAAAACACAAGAAAAGACCTATTCTCAGAGCAGCTTGCCCCACTATACTTATCCCTTGATATCACCCTCAGATCTGCAGGAGGAAACAAGGTATTATTATTAAAGGGTATAAAGACTGTTATGATCCCAAAACAATTTGTAAAATGTCTTCCTATTTTTATTAGTGAGCTCCAAATAGTGATGTATTAGCTAGAATAAACTATACTACAACTAAGTGTCCTTAATAAACACTTCAAATTTATGTGTAAATAAACATGATGCAATATGCTATATAAAAACTCAATTGTGGTCTGTGTGGTGGCTCTCGCCTGTAATCTCAGCACTATGCAAGGCTGGGGCAGGCGAATCACTTGAGCCCCGATGTTCGATAAACAGTCTGGACAACATGGCAAAACCCTGTCTCTATAAAAAAATTAGCTGGGCATAGTGGCATGCATCTGTGGTCTCAGCTACTCGAGAGCCTGGGGTGGGAGGATCACTTGAGCCCAGGAGGCGGAGGTTGTAGTGAGCCGAGATCAAACCACTGTATCCCAGTCTGGGTTACAGAATCAGACCCTGCCTCCAAAATGAAATAAAAACAACAACAATAACAGAAAAAAAAACACCCTCAATTGTATAGAACTGATCCCTGATTATTTTCCTCTTTTGCCAGGAGCAATTGGTGACAAATAAAATAAAATAAAAACTTTAACTTTGACTTTTTCACCGCTGTAGGAGCTTGAGGATTTATCAGTGTTATCTATGTGTTCTCAAAATGTAAAGAACCAAGAAAGACTACATTTGAATAGACAACCTTTTTTAAAGGCAGATCTATTTGGCTCCCAGACAGGCAGGTGCATGGAGCTCTGGAGACACAGTTTAGACCTGGTTTTGTCACAAACTTCCTGTGTAACAGAAGCAACAAGTCAAATAAGAAGGGGGAGAAAGAGGTGCTGCCTTCCAATTAGTCTGGGGAGAGGAGAAAGGAGGTTGGGGAAAGAAAGAACAAGGCTTGAGAGAAGATTTGGAGTTGAGGAAGAGGTTATTCAGTCTCATCAGAAGGAAAGAATACTGAAAAATCCCGGAATCCAGTTTAAGGCAAACAGAAGAAAAGATAGTAGCATTTCTATGTCAAAGTGTTCAAAGAGGGTAAGTCTAGTTGAAACTTTTTAAAGACTCTTAATGGGATTGTGGTTGGATTTTGAAATTGAGGATGTGGTTTTCAACCACTGGACAAGACTGATACACTACAAAAATGCACTCACCTGGCTATTGGTACCCACTGAAAGGGATGTATACTCTGTAATTTCTCTTTTTGTTTTTTAAAGCAGAATATTGGTTGGGATTATTTTTATTGCATTTGAGGAGACTGTATACGTACTTGACTTTTATTTCTTCTTATATATAACTTTTGAACCATAATCTCAAAAATTTAAAACCTCTTTTCAACGCATCTCAAAAATATAGTAGTGCCTTCAATTATTTATTTTTATTTTTTATTTTAATTTGTGTACATACTATATCGGGCATTTCTCCCCATGTTATCCCTCCCCACCTTCCCCACCCCCCACTCTCTCTCCCCTACCCTCCAACTGCCTCCAGTGTGTGATGCTCCTCTCCCTGAGTCCACGTGTTCTCATTGTTCAACACCCACCTGTGAATGAGAACATGTGGTGTTTGGCTTTCTGTTCTTGTGTCAGTTTGCTGAGAATGATGGTTTCCAGATTCATCCAAGTCCCTATAAAGGACATGAACTCATAGTTTTTTATGGCTGTGTAGTATTCCATGGTGTATATGTACCACATTTTATTTGTCCAGTCTATTATCTTTGGGCATTTGGGCTAGATCCTGGTCTTTGCTATTGTACACAGGCCTGCAATGAACATACGTGTGCATGTGTCTTTATAGTAGAATGATTTATAGTTCTCTGGGTATATACCCAGTAATGGGATTGCTGGTTCAAATGGAATTTCTATTTCTAGATCTTTGAGAAATAGCCACACTGTCTTCCACAATGGTTGAACTAATTTACACTCCCACCAACTATGTAAGAGTGTTCTTATTTCTCCACATCCTCTCCAGCAACTGTTGTCTCCTGATTTTTTAATGATCACCATTCTAACTGGTGTGAGATGGTATCTCAATGCGGTTTTGATTTGCATTTCTCTAATGACCAGTGATGATGAGCATTTTTTCATATGTTTGTTGGCCTCATATATGTCTTCTTTTAAAAGTATCTGTTCATATCCTTCACCCACTTTTGAATGGGGTTGTTTTTTTCTTGTAAATCTGTTTTAGTACTTGTAGATTCTGGATATTATCCCTTTGTCATATAGGTAGATTGCAAAATTTTTTCCCATTCTGTTGGTTACCAGTTCACTCTAATGATGGTTTCTTTTGCTGTACAGAACCTCTGAATTTTAATTAGATCCCATTTGTCTATCTTGGCTTTTATTGCCATTGCTTTTGGTGTTTTAGTAATGAAGTCCTTTCTTATGCCTATGTCCTGGATGGTTTTGCCTATGTTTTCTTCTAGTGTTTTTATGGTGTTAGCTTTATGTTTAAATCTTTAATCCATCTGGAGTTAATTTTAGTGTAAGGTGACAGGTAGGGGTCCAGTTTCTGCTTTCTGCACATGACTAGCCAGTTTTCCCAACATCATTTATTAAACATGGAGTCCGTTTCCCATTGCTTGTTTTTCTCAGGTTTGTCAAAGATCAGATGGTTGTACATGTGTGGTGTTGCTTCTGGGGACTCTGTTTGTGTCTTCTCTTATTTCCTGAGCAGTGGTTTGCAGTTCTCCTTGAAGAGGTTCTTTACCTCCTTTGTTAGTTGTATTCCCAGGTATTTTATTCTCTTCATAGCAATTGTGAATGGGAGTTTGCTTTTTATTTGGCTCTATGTTTGTCTATAATTGGTATGTAGGAATGCTTGTGATTTCTGCACATTGATTTTGTATCCTGAGACTTTGCTGAAGTTGCTTATCAGTTTGAGAAGATTTTAGGGCTGAGATCATGTTATCTGCAAATAGAGACCATTTGACTTCCTCCTTTTCTAATTGAATACCCTTTATTTCTTTTTCTTGCTTGATTGCTTTGGTTAGAACGTCCAATATTATGTTGAATAGGAGTGGTGAGAGAGGGCATCCTTGTCTAGTGCCTGATTTCAAAAGGAATTCTTACAGCTTTTGCCCATTCAGTATGATACTGGCTGTAGGTTTGTCATATATAGCTTTTATCATTTTATGATATGTTCCATTGATACCTAGTTTATTGAGAGTTTTTAGCATGAAGCGCTGTTGAATTTTGTCAAAAGTCTTCTCTGCATCTATTGTGATAATCATGTGGTCTTTGTCTTTGGTTCCATTTATGTTATGGATTATGTTTATGGTTTGTGTATGTTGAACCAGGCTTGCACCCCTAGAATGAAGCCTACTTGATTGTGATGGATAAGCTTCTTGATGTGCTGTTGCAATCTGTTTGCCAGTATTTTATTAAATATTTTTGCATCAATGTTCATCATGGATATTGGCCTGAAGTTTTCTTTTTTAGTTGAGTCTCTGCCTGGTTTTGGTATCAGGATGATGTTAGTCTCATAAAATGAGTTAAGGAGGATTCCCTCCTTTTGTATTGTTTGATACAGTTTCAGAAGGAATGGAACCAGCTCCTCTTTGTACATCTGGTAGAATTCGGCTGTGAACCTGTCTGGACCTGGACTTTTTTTGGTTGGTAGGCTATTGATTGCTGCCTCTACTTCAGCTCTTGTTATTGGTCTATTCAGGGTTTCAACTTCATCCTGGTTTAGTCTTGGTAGAGTACAAGTGTCTAGGCATTTATCCATATCTTCCTGGTTTACTGGTTTATGTGCATAGAGCTGTTTGTAATAATCTCTGATGATAGTTTGTATTTCTGTGGAATCAGTGGTGATGTCTGCTTTATCATTTTTTGTTGCATCTATTTGATTCTTCTCCCTTTTCTTTTTTATTAATCTGGCTAGTGGTCTGTCTATTTCGTTGATCTTTTTAAAACCAGCTCCTGGATTTATTGACTTTTTGAAGGGTTTTTTTGTGTTTCTATCTCCTTCAGTTCTGCTCTGATCTTAGTTATTTCTTGTCTTCTGCTAGCTTTTGAGTTTTTTTGTACTTCCTCCTCTAGCTCTTTCAGTTTTGATGATATGGTGTCAATTTTAGATCTTTCCTTGTTTCTCATGTGGGCAATTTGTTGCTATAAATTTCCCTCTTGACACTGCTTTAAATGTGTCCCAGAGATTCTGGTATGTGTGTCTTCCTTCTCATTGGTTTCAAAGAATATCTTTATTTCTGCCTTCATTTCATTGTTTTTCCAGTTGACACTCCGAAGCAAGTTGTTCAGTTTCCAAGTGGTTGTGGAGGTTTGAGTGTGATTCTTAATCCTGAGTTCTAGTCTGATTGTGCTGTGGTCTGATAGACTGTTTGTTATAATTTCCATTCTTTTGCACTTGCTAAGGAGTGACTTTCTTCCAATGATATGGTCAATTTTAGAGTAAGTACAATGTGGTGCTGAGAAAAATGTATATTCTGTGGATTTGGGATGAAGCATCCTGTATATGTCTATTTGGTCCGCTTGGTCCAGCTCTGCATTCAAGTCCTGGATGTACTTGTTAAGTTTCTGTCTTATTCATCTGTCTAATATTGACAGTGGAGTGTTAAAGTCTCCCACTATGATTGTGTGGGAGTCTAAATCTCATTTTAGGTCTTTAAGAACTTGCTTTAGGTATCTGGGTGCTCCTGTGTTGGGTGCCTTTTACCATTATGTAGTGTCCTTCTTTGTCTCTTTTGATCATTGTTGGCTT